GGAGAGGGAAAGGGGGGGAGGGGGAGAGGGGGAGCAGCCCTGGCCAGCCTTCTCCGGAGGACATTACGGAGAGTGTTCCCACCCAGGGAGCCGAAGTCTTTTGGTTGTGATTGTTTTTGTTGAATTTGTTACATTGTTCCCGTGCCATTTATTATTGACAGCCGAATTCTTTCTAACTGCGCACTCAAGTTATTTATCTGGAGCAGGCTTTTCTTTGGGAGTAAATGAATCTAGTTTTAGGCAGTTTACAAAACGATGGATAAAAATGGGGGTTGGGGGAGAATTTGCAACCACGCTCCCAAGGGAGAACTTGTGAAGCCGTTCCTCACTGGTGGGCTGCGCTACGTGAAGCCCGAGCGGGGCATTTCGGCCTAGGGTTGACTTCGTGGAAATAATGCAGTATGGACTATTGCTTTAGGTGCATTTTTTAGTCACTTAAGTTAAGAACTTGGAAGGAACTAGAACTCCCTTTAGCTTCTCACGAGATGGGAAGCGGGGCCCTGGGAAGTTTTCTGTGCGCTCAGCGAGGGGGCAGTGTCTGCCACGGGCGGTGAGACGGGGGAGAATCGGCTTTGGGGTGCCTAAGACCCCGGTGCGTCCTCTGCTGTGGGGCTTGGGGAGCACACGAAGCGGGCCACAATCAATCACCCGAAGGGCGAAGCCGGGCGAGGGCCGAGGCATCGGGAGGCGTTGGGACACGAAGCGCAGGGCGGCGCGGTGGGGCGGCAGGGGCGGCTGGAGGCGTCGGGCAGGTCGCGCCGGGGTGCACGCGGGGCAGGGCGCCCTGTCGCCGGGAGCGGGTGCGCACGGTGCCCGAAGAGCCCGGGCTCCGGGGACACAGACGATCGTGGAATTCGTAGCAACTACGAAAGCAGACATGAAAAGACTGCTCTTGAGTATTCTGGCTGAAAAATCCCGCGTCCTGGGAAGGCACACTTCCGAGTCTCCCTTCCGGAGCTCGCCTGGTCCCCGCCGCACTCAGGCTGTCTTCCGCCTTCCCGGCCGGTTGAGACCCAACTGCTCCGGTGATTCCATCCGCCGCGCGGCTGCTGGGTCTTGGGAAAATCGTGGCCCCGGTGCCTTTGCCAGCCGAGAAAGAAGAGAAGCGGGGAGGGGGGGGGGAGGAAAGGGGGAGGAAATACCCCGCTAGAGCCGCCCTGCCCCTCGCGCGCCCCCTCCTCGAGGCTGGGTCCTCTGCCTGCCTGCGGGGTGGAGGAAGAGCGGCGGAGTGCGCGCGGAGGGGCGCGCGGAGGGGCGCGGTGGGTAAGTGGAGGAGTGGATGGGGCCGCGAGGGACCGGGCCGCGCGGACCGAGTGGGCCGCAGGCTCGGCCGGCTCGCGGCGGACCAGTTTCTCGGTCGGAATGGACGTGCTCGAGGCGCCCTCTATGGTCCGAAAGCAGAATGGGGTCTGATCCGTCCTGCGTGGCTTCCGTGGCGCGCGGGCCAAGTCCGGGAGTGCGGCGCCTCGTGATTCCGCGGGCCGGAGCCTGGGCTGGCGGTTGCGGGGCTAGCTTGGTGCTCAGGGGTAGCCCGCTTAGTCCGTATGTTTGGGCGAGGACGGGGTGCCGGTCGGGGGCGAGGCTAGTCTTCTGGGGCTTGGGGGAGGAGAGTGTGTCCAGAGCCCTGCGGTGGTGCGTTGTTAGAAGGTCGGCGGGATTGCTGTCTGTCCTCAGCCGCAAGCACTCCGGTGTGGCCACAGCCCCACCTCTCCGTTCTGGAGGTCCCGAGTGTGGCCGCTGCCCACCTTACCTACACGGGGCAAATGCGCCTAGCACTCCGGTCCGGGTTGCACCTAGAAAGGGCCTTGATCAGCCATGTCCTCCCCTGAAATGAATGAAGCTCGGCGACTCCAGCGCACAGGCTGCTCAGGAAGCCCTTCTGAGCAGCTGCGGGGAGCAGTGGGTATGTAGGTTACTTAAAAAATCAGTTTCTCTGCTGTAATTGGATGGTCCCAGATGGTGTCTGCTGCCTACACCCCGAAACTTCCATTCTCATGTGTGTGTGTGTGTGTGTGTGTGGTGTACAAGCCCATCATTGGGCTTGAACTCTGGGCCTGAGCTTGTTTTCCCCTCAAGGCCAGCACTCTACTACCACTTGAATCCCAGCTCCATTTCTGGCTTATTTGGTGCCCAACTTGGTTTCAAACCAGGATCCTCAAATCTCAGCCTCCTGTGTAGTTAGGATTACAGCCTGAACCAATGGGTGCCTGGCTTATTTTCGTATTTATCTTTATTTTTTTTCTACAGATGAAAGTGGAGGGCCTTGTGACAGTGGGTAGGCCATCACCCAGACAGGAGCTCAGGCCCAGGGATTGGTGGTCTAGGCATGGTGATCCGATGGTGATGTTCAGATCAGATGTTCACGGTACACAGTTAGAGCACAAGCCTCTTGATTATGTTTCTCCCGTGAAAAGATAGAAATGAATTTTTAGTCAAGGTTTAAAAACAGTGTTTGCAGCACTTGGTTGCAGCTTTGGCTGTCGATGTCAGTGTCTGGAGCCTGGGCTGTGCACCCATTGCATCTTTCCACAGTTGCCTCCAACACCAAAGCAATTGGTCCTGGGGAAGACTCGAGCTGTTAGAATGAAGCGCTACACCCACCCCTCCATACCGGGCTTGGGGGGGTGCTGCAGCCGACCCCTAGCTGGGTCTCTGCTCCCATCCTGGCCGGGCCTGAGGGTGACTGCCTGGAGACTCCCCCCTCCCGGCCTCCCTCCTTCCCTAGATCAATTATATTCACCAGCACATTTATCTCTCCCACAATATGGAGAATTCATATTCATATCTCGGTTTTCGTGGTCTGACACTGATTAATGTAATATGCGCCTTGGCTCCGAGGGGCGCGAGGCGCACCTCCAGATGAATCATGCCGGGCGAACTTGGAGTCGTCCTTCAGAGAGCAGGAGCTGAGGGAGGGAAGGGGGGAGGGAGGGGCCGTCCGGGTGGCTGCGGCACCCCAGGGTGCTCAGGGCGGGCTCGGAATGTCGGGGAGCAGCCCCCACTCCCCCCCTCTGTTTCAACACTGGGCTGCGCAGTTCAGTTCTGAGCTTGGCCCTTCCTCCCTCCCCGTTCCCGGCTGCCCGCTGTCCCCCAGGCTCCGGAGCAGAAACTGCGTTTTGTGGGAACCTACTCGGACCCACAAAATCTGCTTCTGAAACC